AACTAAGAGGCTTAAGCCATAGGCTCTAATGCGCCCTTCCCACTAATCTCGATTTTGGACATCTCTCGAACCAGACTTTTCGTTCCTCTAGTTTCAGTGGCTTCGACCCAATTGCCATGTACTTGAGCTTTTATATGAAATGGCAATTCAACAATAGCGATTGCCTTTTCAAAATCTCTTGTATCAATCACAATCAGATCACAACGATTGGCAATCCTCCTTTCCACCATTGCCATCACCCATCCATCCCCTTCCTTGGAATCTTTCGATCGGGGAATGAAAATCGGTTCTTGGACATGCGAGTCTTCTCCTGCATAGAAAAATTTCGTTTCGCTCGTCTTGTTGTTGTGCATCGCAAGACCATTTAGTCCCTGGTATATATTACTCTTTGCATCACTTTGTTCTGGAATGAAAACATCTAAGAACACCCATTCATATTCCTTCGTCATGAATCTCTCGTCAATTCTCGGAAATTCACATGGGATATCCAAAACTACCAATGGATCCTGTATCTTGGTGCCACTCGGTTGACTCAAATCAAATTCCCAACGTGCGAAATCACCTTTCGTATCCGGATTCGGCATTCGTCCATCATCGGGTGGAAAGAATGGAAAGGCATTATCGTGCACTCTCGAACTTTCCATGTATAATTTCCCATCCTTTCCTTCCCAGGCTCCAGCTGTATGAACTGGCATACAGTTGTTCCACTCATAATATCTCCATTCTCCTTCCTCCCATCCATCCGGCAATGGTGTCGACTTTCTCCTCGGGACCACAATGAACGTAGCAGGTTTTTCATAATCCCATGCCCAATGCTGGCCCCCTTTCTTCATTCTCTCAATGTCCGCTTCGAAGCACCAACATACCAGTATTAACCAATTCTCCGTAATGGCACAATCATGAATAAATGCACACCACGGACTCTTTACCCATAATTCTTCCACCTTTTTCCCTTGCGCATCGAGCGTATATGTAACTACATCCAGCGTGGCCAACCCCTTTGCCTCGTACCCAAATACAACAAGTTCATTCGTAAATGGATCAACCTTCGGATGGGCCGTAAAAGTCTTCGACTTCACTCCCTCAGAGGCAAAAGGATCGTATCCCAAAGTCTCCAACGTATCGCCATCAACTTCATATGGCAACCCCACTTCCTTCAACGCCAACAACTTGTCAGCCCACATGACTAAATTCGTGTTTGCTGTACTATCTACCGCAGCTCGTACACACGGATGATGTGTATATGGATTTCGATATAATCCAAATAAAGCTTTGTTAGCCTGTCGTTCGAGTTTGTACCGTTCGGTCTCGATATACCGCATTTTCATATCGACGATCCCGTTGTGGAAACGAAAGGCGGAAATATTGCCGTCGCCATCGATAGGTACATTTTGTGGGTGGGGTGGAACGAAAGGGTCGCACATGACACGATAAAATGTTCCATTTATCTCTGAGGGGATAGACCCAAGGACTACGAGATTGGCGACTTCACCTTCGAGACGGCAGGGGAGGTTGGAGCCTGCGAGGTCAATTGCGGTGGGCCATCTGGAGGTGAGATTCTGAGGATTTCGGCTGTCATGAGTGGCGGGAGTGTGGGTTGTTGTGGGCAGGGCAACTTTTGAAGGAGGAGGAACGTCGGGAGCATCAAGGCAGAGAATTTTTGTGGATGATGGTGGGTCATTTGGTATCGCCATTGTTTATGAGGTAATGTTTGTAGCAATGAGTGAACTGGCCGTTGATGATAAGAACAATGTGATAGGTAGTGCAGTAAATTGAAGTATTTATATACTACAAACATGACGCACCCTGGGCATCAGCAGATATCATGACCCCAGACGGACTTTTCCCTCACTGCATATATTTATCAATAACCCATATCATCCATGTATTCTTACATCTCCAGATCAAGCGAGTATTACACGCACCACTGACAGCGGTTCCACAGTTTGGCATCCCCATATATTTTAGGGAAAGATAAAGTCCGTAACTGCCGTGAAACTTCACCCCCACCAAAAGTCCCAGAAGTGTTCTTGGCCTTCTCCCCCAAGCTAGCTCCAGAAGCTAACAGTAGCTGCCGAAGGGGTTTACATGTGGGTAAATGGCTTTTCGGATGATAGACATCATGCTGCTAGACCTCAAAGGGTTTGAGACTGCACCGGGAACATCCCTCCTTACCCCATAGTTGTCGAGGGATATATTCTAACCGAGTCTTCTGTCCATGGGTCACGCGATTGATGCATATATAGCGTGTTATTATTGACTTCTTGATGAATTTGTATTGAAAGTATTTCATTCATCCGGTATGTAATTGATCAATGCTTTGGAAGAGGAGCAATATTCTGGCGAATCCTTGCATTGAATTTGGTAATAGTCGGCATCGCACCGTTCCGGTACAAAGTGCCAGTCAGCATTGAGGTTCAAAGAAGAATGATTTGCAGCACGCAAGTGGATTCTCTTGAGATGACACGACACGTGGAGAGCTTGGACTAGCTAGACGTTATGAATGTTCTTGGAAATATCCCTAAGTTTGAGCCCCTGGAAGTTGATGACCGGGAATTTCCCACCTGGACGTGGGGTTTACCGCTCGGCTGTCCGGAGATTTGACTTGCTCAGGATTCTTTCTTCGCGATTGGAGAATAATCAAATTTGATTTGATGGCGTGGCGTCAGCGGCACGAAAAAGCGAAAAAGTCATGACACCCGAAAAGTTCGAATTACCACTGACTAAACATGTTTATGGGGATTTGAGTCCATCATACACTTGATGTTTTCTACATTTGAATACAGATTTATATCATTATGAAAGGTTGAAATATAAGTATCTTTGATCATAGTTTTATTGACCCGCTGGACATTGATACTTCGGATCACTTTACTCGAAGTGCGAGTTTCCGAACTACACAATGGTCAATCTGGCAAGCTTGGAACGAAGATTCTACGATATATTTTCCATGCGGAAGCCTCTGTCAGGAATGAAGGAACAAGCTTCTTTTTCTGCTCGGGGAAGGAACGGCACTCATCAAGAAACCAATTGAAGTAGGGAATTGGAAGTGACGATATGGTATTCCAAAACAATCAAGTGGTTGTGAATCCCTCCCCTTCCTCTTAATCCATCTTTATTCATCAAGTGTTTCAAAAGACGTTGCAATCATGCGAGGAGCTGCAAGATGCATCAATAGGTATCCCTATCTAACCATTCTTCTTATCTTCTCAATTTGCTTCTATATCTTCTTTGTCAGTTCTTATGATTCCCCAGTCCATAGCATCCGGGAGAAAATTCCAAAGCTTCGTTCTTCCAAAGCAACGGAAGATGTTTTCAATTTCCTTCGCCTCGATTCCGCAGCCCTTCGAGCTTTATGCGAAAAGACAGAATGGAATCCAGCCAAAGTTATATTCACATGCGATAATTCCATCGACGGAGTTGGGGACATACGAAACTCGATACTGAACTGTGTACGGTATGCAATATCTGCGGGCGCCGGTCTAGTGATCCCTCGAATTATTCTCCGAAATCCGGATGATATCTCACAGATTCGAACCGGTGAAAGAGTTAGTATAGCTTACATGTTTGACTATTTTCATTTTGTCGAATCGCTCAGGTATTCTTGTCCGCAAATGGTCATATATCCATACATAGATGATGTTCCAAATTCAAACGAGGGAAGAGGTCCTATCACACTATTGCCAGAAAGTTTATTCTCTTCTCCAATTCCGAAAACAGGCTTAGAACTTCCGGAAAATTGGAGAGAATTATTTGAGGGATGGTTGGATGGATATTATCAGTTCGCGACGAATCAGACAATGAATATGCCGGTAACGGTTGAGCTTGGGAGATCGTATTTGCAATATCCGATATATTCTGACGGGGAGGAATTTGCACTTTCTTTTGGTGGGATATTGAAGTTCCGCAAAAATTTGAGGATTCTTGCTACCACTGTTTTGCAGAATATGTTATCCACATATAACGTGTCTGGAGATCTTTCACAGCCGTTTCTCCCTGATACTTTTTTTGGTGCACATCTCAGGACAGAGATAGATACTACAAAATCCTGGCCGGCTGAGGATTGGTTTTATCAGCGTTATGAATTCCAGTCGATACAATACCTGAAGAAATTGGCCTCTACAAACCTCACTCTAGTTTATGTAGCATCAGGCAACGAAACCGAGACCGCACAGTTCTCGCGAGACGCAGCTGCATACCATGTCACTACTAAATGGATGCTACTCGATGCTAAGGACAGGGAACTATTGAGCAAGTTATCATGGGATCAACAGGCGATAGTCGATTTTCTCGTCTTGACGAAAAGCTCCAAGTTCGTCGGAATAGACCATTCGAGTTTTACGTGGAATATTGCGTTGCAGAGACATCAATTTTTGAAGAATGAGAAAGACTACTTGGACGGGCCGGAGTTGTTAAGTGATGAGTTAAGTACGGTGTTTGGGAAGCCAGGTGCGCATCCTGAATACGCAGCTTGTTTGTGGCCTTGATTATGCGGATATTGATTAGGAGTTGCGAAAAGAAATGTGATACTGCTTAGCGTTAAGTTTGGTATGAATGGACAATTATTCATTTTGTTTTCTTGACTCGGAGTACCCATACATTTAGCGTTAGAGAATCAACAAGGCAGTAAAATTATGATCTATATACTTGAAGCGGTGCGGATTCAACGTAACAATAGACGTAAGTCGTTGGATTATAGGTATTACACAAGTACAAGGTATAAAAATGCAAGTATGGCAAAATCGTAATATTATGAGCTAGGACACGCGAAGCTATCGAGATGCCTATGTAAGTACAATGAGTGTAACGGTCGCCAATCGCCTATTCCATTATTCCCTATCCATTCTTTCCGTCTGTGAAACTTCAGTTCCGGCATTAATCCTCCACTGCCTTTTCAAAAATCCAAAGATGTGAAATTTAACGAGTGTGAATTGCGCATGTGCACATATTAAGGAGATATTATGTTGTTAACGTGAGATAATATGCAAGGTACGAGTCGTTTAATGGCCATTGGAAGAGTTGGTAACGGTGGCCTGGGGACGTGAGACACCTCTAGCTCTTCGATCCTCTGCTATTTGTCTCCAGATATTACTAGACCAAATCGCCCAGTTCTTGGATCTCTCAGGTCCGACGCCATCGTTGATCTCAACCTTGTCATGGATAGTTGGCAATTGATTTTGAAATCCCTTGGTAAGTTCATTCATTGTCTCTTCCTTTGCTGTTCTTTGCCAGTCTCTTTGATCTTCCTGTTCCTTGGTGGTGATTTGCCTATCGAGGCCGCAAAAACCGTTGACGGTGACCCAGTAACTTTTGCCGTCTTGATCAACAGAAATCTGGTACCACCATTGGGCTGGATTTCCAGTGGGAAATGTTTCTTTTGTAAAATCATCCATGTTTTTCGATCTTTTTCGAACTAAGTACTTGCTTCGTTAGGATCTCAAGATTGCTATCAAACTATGTGTGAGGTATTGACGATGCTTACCTTTGATTGAGACGGAGACTGTGTGTGATACGTGCGGATATGTGTGAAGATGATTTTATTTGTGTAGATGTGGATGAAGGTGCGCAGATAATGCAGGTGGATAGAGAGTATGAAGAAGTTGATAGAAGCAGGATATTCTTGCGAGAAAATCTGTGTTTGAAGTGGGAGAAATGTATTTTTGTTGGTTGAAGGTATGTTTTGGGATTCGTGATTGAGATGTTGTTGGTTGATGAAGAGGAAAGAAAAAGAGAAAACCAAAGAAGGAAATTCGATCTATTTGAGCACAAATAATGAGGCTCTCAAGGCATCAATGTTCAGAATGAATTACCATTTGGTAGTCATTTCAAGATTATAGATACCAAATAATGCTGTGCATTCTATGAATATTACAACTTGAGGAGAAAATGGAGTCATTTGATGGATTTGTGACTTAAACCTCACTTCTCATGATTCAGAATACTGAAAAGTATATTTTGGACTCATACAAATATCTGCCACTGACCAATGAGGCTTCTCATACATCATAATGGTGAGTAAATTCCAAGATGAGAGTCATTCAGAAGGGAAAATGTGTTGAATAAAACAGAATATTCATTGAATGGTATGATTTGAGCGGACAATGTGATTATTTGGTGACTGGTATGTTGAAATGATGATTCGAAAAGTGATGAGGGGTAGGTGTTGGAGTCATATAAGACTTGAACAGTCAGTGACAGGTTTCTTAGCCATCGATTCCTAGATAGTAGTCATTCCGGAAGTCAGATTCATAAAATATGACTTCGTACTAAATGAATACTGCAATGTGGGCAGAGAACAAAGTCACCGACGGGTATTCAATTATCGACATTTCGAGCAAATGAGTCGAAACCCGATAATTGACCAAATGCGGATTTATACCTCTCAATCATTTTTGGAACAAGAATTTACAGACAATTTACGGAGAAAGTGACAGTCATCACTTAGTTTCTAACAATTCAGAACGCTGAGGTCGGGTATTTTCAGAGCTTGGTCAACATCTTCACAGTGGAGAATATAACAAAGGAGTTTCACTGCAAATTGATTGGGCATGAGAGGATAGTTAAATTATAATCATTGATTGGTGATGGCTTTAGGGGTGCAACTCAAAACCAATTGTAGGAAGAAATTTGAATGCTCTCCAAACTAATCGGTAGGGACACATGAAAGCGAAGACTTTACGACTTCACTCTTCCTACATAGGAAAATGATGGGAAGTCCCTTGATGACATCTGAATATGATAGCAATGAGACCTTATACCGCAAAGAATATAGTCTAGAGTGCATTTCATCGAACATAAAATAAGTCTGCCGTATATAACGCTTGAAGATTGAACACTTGAATCTGCAATGCACCATATTCCATATTCTTCGTGTCAACCATCGTAATGAAAACAAGACAACACAAACTCTTAGCACCAAGAAGTTTGGTTTCGTACGGATTATAAGGGCTTCCATGTGATGAATAATCCGCGAAGATTTGATAAATTACCGAGAAAGCAGGGGATTTTGTCTTCTCAACAGCTGTGTCAAACACACGAACGGTAAAGAATTTGAATTTTCAATCATGGTTTGATGAACTGATCAACACGGGATTCAATAACGATCAGGCAAATCCGCCAGATGCTTCAACAGTAACAGACATTCCGGACTTTAAGATATGGCAAATAAAGGAGATCCATACCCATTTGGCGATCAATGGGGCCGACTCTTGGATTATCTGTATCTTTCGTGGAGAGCAAGATGATGTAATGGATGAGACTCAAGCACACTTTGATGTGACCCCGAACCGCTGGATAAAGGAAAGGAATATAAGCTTGACTGTGCCATTGAAGGGTCAACAGCGGAAGCACGAGAAAAGTACACGTGAATCGTATGGAGGGTTCTTAGATAGACAGACGCCTCGAAAAGAGAGTAGAAACGATAGCAAAGAAAGTTGAACGAGTAAATCGGAAAGACGAGGCAAAAGGATTGATGATTACCAGTACTACTGGTCATGATATCGTATGGTGTGAGGTAGAGACCATTGTGATAAAGTCTATGCTATTTCAGGAAATGGAGTAAGAGTAACAAAAGCTTAGAGAGAATATTTGAAACTGACATCTTCAGTATAAATATTATATGAAGTTGTTGCTGAGAAACGACGGTGTTTTGTGAAGGATCTAGAAACGAGGTCAACCTGGGCAGCTCTAGTAACCTTGGAAGTGGCTGATAATTAGTCTGAAGTGCTTCTGTGGCTGGAGGTTACCTACATGGATGGCCGGGGATTCCAAGGTTGCCCAGGTGAGGTGCTGTGGCGGACGGTGTTGATGATACTCCGAACACCGAGCCAGTTTGCCGAGATACCGATATCGATCCATATCGATCTCGGTTAGAATGATCAAGATTGATAACATTATTTGATTGGACAATAATACGAGTAAATTATATTTCTTTTTTCTTCTCCCAATTTCTACTTGAGTAGTTTTAACTTTCCAAGCATGCAGGTATCGGGCAATATTTACGAAGTTCCTACATTTTTATCACTCTCGTCACTATCAGTACCCCGTGTTTTTTTGTTTGGATTTTTCCGCATGTTCTCCGTCCTTTACTCTCCTTTCATATTTGACAATTATATGACTGGAGCTTTAAACATCGCCATGCGAATTCTCGATGGAGATCCTGTTTCGTAATCGGTTTCGGGTCTTCATATATTGACACGGCCTACCTGGTCTATTCTATCTGTCTATCTGTCTAATCTCTCTTCTCTATACTCTTCTACCTTTCGTGTTTCAATCTATCTCTTCTGTATATAACGATTTTGTAATCCTTTTTGTGTTTTAACATTCTATACCAGAATTCAACTTCATCTACCAAATCCTCATTCATCAATATCTAATCGTCATCGTGTCTACCTTTAGCCGTGATATTTGCCTGCATCTCCTTCAACACAGCCTTCTCTCATTCTTGCTTGGCCTCTTGGACCCCTTGGCCTTGACACAACGATTGATCACACAGTACAAGGACGCCTACATTCTTTTGTCAGTGATGATATAAAGTCGACTTCTCCGACCATTACCCTTAGTATAACACAGTTTAAGTTCAATATACCCCTTCGACGATCGCCACACACAGTCAGGCATGCGCTCGAGTATATCCATCTAATTCCTCAACGAAAAGGCCCTAGTCGCTATCATGGGATTACTCCGCCAAGTCAGAACTTTGACTGGCAAGAATCTCCTTATTACGGTCAAACGACATGCCTTTAGCACATCCATACGCACCTTTATCCTACCAGTGGCCTTGATCGTATTTCTTAGTTATGCCAGGAATTTATTCATACCACCTTCAACTTACGGGATTGGCTCTAGCCAGCCCATTCGATCATTAGAAGAAGGGATCCGAGCCGCGGACAGGTGGACGAATACTTTGGCATTTGTTAACAATGGGTCTAATAGGGGAGATGTTGATGCTGTTATTGCTGATTTAACTTCGCAGGCTAAGTGCTGGGGCAAAGGTGAAACGTTTGACGACGGAGGCTGAACTACTGGATATCTGCAAAAGTACTCTAAGGGGGGCAACATCTTGTTACGGTGCCATTGTTTTCAATTCTTCGCCTTCGGAAGGAACAGGGGGAATATGGAACTATACCATGCGAGCAGATGGCGCATTCGGCACGAAGATTGATGTTACAGCAAACAAAAACGATGCCGAACTCTTCCTTTTGCCACTGCAGCGTGCTGTTGATTATGCAATCGCTTCGAGAAATACAACAATCGATCAGAATGCGTTGCCCACTACCGTCAACGAATATCCGTATACTAGCCAGACTCAAAAGCAACGCGAAACTGCAATTCGGACGAATTACCAAACTGCCATCATCAATATTCTTGGAGTCGCTTTCTTGATTGGCATGGTTGGCGTTACATATCATTTGACTGGGTTCATTGCTTCTGAGCGGGAGCTTGGAATGTCACAACTTCTAGAAGCTATGATGCCGAATCTACGAAGATGGGAACCTCAAGTAGCCAGGATACTTTCATATCATCTAGCCTTTGATATCATCTACATACCAGGATGGATCGTCATGGGTGTCGTTTTGGGAGTAGGAGTCTTTGCCCAAACCTCCATGGCCATTGTGATCATATTTCATGTTCTGGCCGGCTTATCCTTAACATCATTCTCTATCCTTGGTGCTGCCTTTTTCAAGAAAGCTCAGCTTAGTGGAATTACTCTTGCAATTGTCACACTCCTACTTGGTGTCGTAACTCAAGTCATAGACAAGACAAACTCGGGTACTGTGGCAATCTTGAGTTTACTTTTCGCTCCATGTAATTATGTGTTTTTCCTTGTTTTCATGGCTCGATTTGAAAGGCAAAATATTGGCACCAACCTTGTACAAGCTGCGCCAAACAATCCATGGTCACTGCCCGGAATTGCGCTATGGGTTTTCTTAATCATTCAAATTTTTGTTTATCCGATCCTTGGGGCTTTAGTCGAACGTTCCCTTTTCGGAACAACTTCCAAGGGTCGTTCAGTTGTTGGCCAAGGCTCTGAAAAGCATGCACAATCACTTGGGTCTAACACATTGGAAACCGTTCGATTGGAGAACTTCACAAAACATTACCGACCCAATTGGTTTCGAATGAAGACAGCTGGATTTACCAAGATCCCCACAGCTACTGTCGTCGCTGTCAATGATTTGAGTTTGTCCGCAAGTAAGGGTCAAATCCTTGTCCTTCTAGGTGCCAACGGATCTGGGAAGAGTACCACCTTGGATGCAATCGCAGGATTGAACACCGTTACTAGTGGAAGTATCACAGTTGATGGTACAGGAGGATTAGGTATTGCTCCACAGAAGAATGTGCTATGGAATGAACTTACAGTAGAGGAGCATATTCGTATCTTCAATAGCCT